TAAGAATTTTAAAAGTTAGAAGTAGGTTTTCAGCATTTTGCTGTACGTGCAGTTACAGTAGTAACCACAGCAATATAAAGGGTCTCCACACTGCAAGTTTATGCTGAAAGATGTAAATACCTTCTGCTTTGATCACTAGCAGGAGTATAACCAAAGTGAACTGCTAAACTACTGTAACAGACTCAACTCTGAAACAAAATTAGATTCAAAACTCTTTGTTTCACACCCAGTGATGCAAGCTACATGGACGGCAAAATTTTATCCTCTAAATATTCGAACATTTCCTTCTCCTCTGTGACGTCAGAGAATTGCATAGCGCACAGTTAAATGGGTCAAAGAAAATTTCAACATAAGCAGGGAAAGGCGTGCAATTATGAATACATCATGAACAAAAATAAAAGCAATTCTTATGCATTAATGGTACATCAAGCTAATTCAAGAAGGCTAAAATCATTAAAAAGGCATCCTGGGGCAGTACACAGTCATTACAATACTGTGCTGACAAGAAATATTAAAATAATCATTTCCAATCTCATTGATAAAATCCATTCTGATTAGGCAGGAAAAAAACAACCTAAATTCTTAATTAGGAAATCTGAAGTAAAATGGATCCTATCAGCATTTGATCTTATTTTTAAAACATAATTCCCCTGTCTGACAATTCCCAATTCCAAATATGAAAAGCTAAAAAAGAATTTATTATCCTCTATTGTTGGGCACATTATTAAACTAATCCCCTGGAACCTAGATTTTATCTTTCTCATTTTGGATTGAAATTCAGGGCCCGCTCGTGCAGCTCCAACTTCAAACAGCATCAGAGATTAGACCCAAGTGGGACAATGCTGAAGGTTAAAAACAGCCCTCTAAAATGTTCAAAATCCTGCTTTGCTTTAGAGTACAAACTTTTATACAAAACAGTTGATCATCAGATCACAGGATGCCTGAATATCTACTGCCTTTAAGAAATTAAGGACTCTATCAGTCTGTCCAAACAGTTTAATTTGTAAATTATTATTAGGGTATTGGGAAACAAGTGATTCATTATACGCACATTCCAAAGGACTAAGAATAACCATCCTGACACTACTGTTTACAAATAACAGTTTTCAGCTTCTTAAAGCATTAGAGAACAGTTCTCTAAATATCCACAGATGTACATTAACTACTCATCAGCCTTCATAAAAAGTTTCTGTGGACAAAAGTAAAATACTACTGTAGAGCAGTGTTCTTATTACAAAGGATGAACAGGCAGACTCAATGATCTTAGAGGTCTTTTCAACCTAAATGCTTCTAATACTCCGTTACAATTAATAGCGAGCTTATCAACTGTAATGAAGCATTGTAAAGAATGTATTTGGATTTAACTAAAGAATAAAATAGCGTTTTCATAATAATAATCATTCAAGTTAAATATTTCTACCACTCAACTGTGGGGAAAATAGGAAATAAGTTATAATAGACAAAAATGGTAATAGATGACCACTAACAGAGTTCAGTGGATGCTTGCAGAGGAAAAAATATAAATTTATTTTCTTATGTTTGTGCAATAAAGGAGTAAAAGACCCTGCAATGCTATTTCCAATTTCTTCCTCTGAAAGGTAGGTCTACATCTCATCAAGGCAGAAAACAGAAACAATAAACTAGATTCTAGAAAAATCTTTTAAAACAGCACCTTTTGTAACAAAATTAATACCTAGTATGTTAAAGAAAAGTCTGCTGTAACTCGGACTGGTAACAGGGGTTTGAACAATGGAATTTTACAGTTTCAGATTTACCAACTCACTGGCAATTCAAAGTTCTTGAAAAACAGAAGGGGGAGAGGAAGAACAGAGTGCATTTGGACCATAAATTATGTATGTAAATCCCAGCTGATGCAAACCACTGCACAGTGTTTGACTCTATTAAAATAGAAGTCACGTGCAAAGTGAAAGCACTAGCTAATGTGACTAAACTGAACCCAATCTAACCTACTGCATCTGCTACAATATCTACATTAAAAAAAAAAAAATGAAAACCAACTCCACACCAAAAAAAAAAAACCAAACCCCACACCAAAAAGCAAAACCCACCCATACACCCATCGCAATCAACATTATCACAAAAATTTAAAAGAAGTGAAGCATTCATCAATGTTACAGGCCAGCAAAAGCCCTGGGACCTTGGACAACATACCGAGCATACTATGTGAAGACCTCTATTTAGCCTGTCCCTCCTCCCCATAACCTTTCTTCTCCTTGTTCATTGACAATATTTACATCAATAAGTGTGTTTTTCAAAGTCAGACTAGTCTTTCTGGTGTTGGGTAATCGGCTCCATTTATTCTGGAAAGGATCTGAACACAAAGAGAAGATATTAACCAATGTTGTGTGCTGCTTGCTTTTGAGAAAACAGGGCTCAAAAGTCCTTTGAAGGGGACCAAAGAGCAGCCCCTCAAAAGCTGGTATGGCAGAATTCACTTGCATTTCTAGAAATAAAGTAAAATTTAAACCATGGGTACGGGGCCCAGATCATGCAACCAAGCAGATGTTTGGCTCCCTTGTTGAAGAGGCGGCCCAATTCCTTTAGTATAAGATGAGGAAGAGCCACTCCAGTTTAACAGCAGCTTCAGAAAAGATCTGACAGTAAGCAGAAGCCACCAAAGTAACAGACTGGCTGCACAGACTCACAAAGCACTAAAATGTTCTACAGCTGATGCGTCAGTGATGTCGAGTCACAAGCCATTGTGGGGGATTTACTAAATTACATCCGGTGTGATTGTACACATTTTACATTTCATGCCTATCAACTGAGAAAGAAGTTGAAACAAGATGGGAGTATGTGTGTAAAAGTATGTATGTTGAAACAAGATCGGAGTATGTGTGCATTTCATGATACTACCTTTCATTTCCTACTGAATACAATTTCACAAAAGATGTAACCTGTTATTTACAAAAAAGGTAAAAAAAGCAAAGTCATTCTCATTAGTCAAAGGCTTTCACAGCATTAGTGGTCATTAAAGCAATGGTGATGTAGCCAGCACCTACAGCACAGGCTGGTGCCAACATACCCCTCATCTCCCAGTAAGTCAGCCTCCTGGTGTACACTCCAATTGTAAGTCACATCCTTTTTCTAAAGGAAAGATAATTCAGAAGTTTTCTTCAAACTTCTTTTGTCTTGCCCTTCAAAAGTCTGCGTATAGACTACATGAACCCCCCAAGGAAGCCATTAAAAAACAGTTAGTCCTATATTCAACCCGAATGTCCTAGGCTTGCACAAGCCAAGCATCATTTAATCAAGTGCTCCTTATTAACAACTTGCACTATTCATTCACACCCCCTCATTTAATGGGGTTAAAAAGTTGCTTTGTTTCCTGCTGAAATAAACAGCAAAAGTGATCAGGAATTGGATTTTGTCCCAGACATATCTGGCAACTGTAACACATTTATACAAAAGCATTTGTAATCCTATTGGTTGGCAAATATGAAATAGTTGGTTGACTGCCATGTAGGTAAAACAAAACCTCGATATTTCTTAAAAACACGTTTGTAAATTCTTTCTAGTTACTACTGAAATTTAGCAGAGACACAAATAAGCTTCCTGGAAGCTTACAAGTTTATCACACTAGCTTTCTGCCAAGAGACTTGTGTCTCAAAAAATCCCTGAAGGAAAGAGAAGGGGGGGGGAAGCTTAGACTGTACAAAGATCCACAAACACCATGACTTGGAATATGTAATTAAAAACCTAACTATAGCTAGCACTCAAAACTAAATGCACTAACAAAAAACCCTAATGGTTCTTTGAAACTCATATTCAACATAGAAAATATAGACAGTGAAAACAGTAATTTCTGCAACTTGTTCAAGAGAAAACAGTGAGCAAAGCACAAAGACGCAGCTTCAAGTGCTCTTCTCTGAAATCCTACCAACAGGATAGGTAAAAACACCTTTATTTGAATTTAAACCTATTGCAGCGCACGTCAGTATTTCCCATTTAAAAATGTGAAGGTTTTGCTTTCTTTTTTCCATTTAAAAACCGGAACATTTTGCTTGCTTCCTTTTTTTAATTTTAGCTGTCTGTGGACACATCTCGGGTAAGAACGGACGTGACACTGCCTGACAGAACCACAGACGATGCCAGCTCTTTGCAATGAAAAGCCGGCAACAAAAAACCCCACTGGACTGAGGAGCTTAGTTATTTCCTCGGAAGTGATTTCAGCACAATTAAGAAGATTTTTACAGGCCGAAGGGCCGGCGTGTCCAGCCACCAGCCAGCCAAGCCCCCGGCCACCGGGCTCGGTTTCCACTAGAGGGGGCCCAAAGCCCATCTCATGCCGCCAAGGCCAAGATCAGCTGCGCTCCTCCAGCCACTGAACTCTTCCCAAGGGCTAACTGCTCCAGAATCGTCACAGATGGTTAGAAAGCACTCCTCTTATTGCTTTTTTATTTTTATTTTTTTGAGACGGTACACAATGATCCCAAGTACCTCCTATAAGGCGAACATTGCTGCTAATGATGTTTTAAATCACCATTAAGCAGCCAGCTTTATTTCTAAACTCCTACACAGGACTGTCAAATTCTAACACTCCATGAATGCCATGAGTTACTTCTCATGATTACCCTATTCCTATCAATTTTCTCAACTTACTTCACTTTCTCCTATGTGGAAGACCATTTTTAACTACTTTGCACAAACAGCCTTTCAACATCTCCACGAGCACTACATTAAAATAAAGAAAACTTTGCTAAATTAAAGCAAGCACCAAAAGACAACTGAAAAATAAATGAAGATTAAATAGTTTCAGATGCTTAACTAAAGGTGCTAGCAGAGAACACAACACCATGCATGTGCCACGTTCAGAATAATGAAGCCTCTACTTTACTAAAAACAAGCATTTTCTTTAAATATTAATAAACACCTGCAAAACATGCCAAGTACCTGAGCTATCAGACATCAGTGGTTATTTAAAAACAACAGACACTGTACTACTGTGTGATATGCTGGATAAAATAAGTAATCTTTACCATCCTGGAAGACTCTCTCCACATTGAGTCCATACGTGGCACAGGTTTCGTAGTAAGTGCATCTCTTGAGATCATTCGATAACTTCCTCGCTCTGGCATCGTCTATGACACGTGGATTACTGGAACTTATAGCATCTACAGAAACAGCAGGAAAAAAAAATACCACATTTAAATATAATTTGAAAACATCATCTTACAATTATCAGTACCCAAGCAGTGAACTTATGTACCAATCATGAGACACTCGGAATTTTTAGAAAACAAGAGTGGTGTGCATAACTCCAGTTTTATACTTTGTTGTTAAAATAGCCGGCATACCGATTGATTCCAAAAACCAGAAAAAAAACCTAAAATGCATTTTGGTTACCTTAAAAATATACTTAGATCACTAACTGCAAAATATACAATCACATGAAAGAACATGAGCTCCGAGTAAGTAAAACATACTTAGAAAAACAAATGGCTAATGACTATAAAACATGTCAAATGATTCTTAGGACTCCAAAAATACCAGCACTGGCTTACAAGTAACCTTCACCTGTAGAGGGTGAAGCACTAAACATGACACGTTTGTAAGGACAAGAACATTTTCGGTAGAGACACAATGGCATGGGGAGGGTGGGGGGGGAGAAATGGTACCAGGTATTACTGCAACACTCCGGGAAAGTGTTAGAGGTGAATGAGAGATACTTTTCTTAAATTAAAAAAAAAAAAAAAAAAAAAAAAAAAAAGGAAAGAAAAGAAACAAGCTAGCTAAGACAACTGGGGGCAAGGAGGAGGAATCCCAATGGCAGAAAAGAAATAACGAAGCTGTAGACAACTAAATCTAGAGTCCAACTCTTCGCTCAGTTCCTCATGTGTGCTTTTTTTTGGTCCTTCCCATTTTTTAGGCTAGTTCTCTCTGTGTTTTGCTCAGGCACAGAGAGTCAACAGTCTGCTAGCGAGGCTGGGCTGGAAGCAAAGCGCTTTGCTAAACCCCAACCCTCAACCCACAGCACACACCGTGCCCCAGGCAAGGCAGACACTTGCTAGTTTAACGTGAAATAGAGATTTTTTGTGTATTCACAGGTTGCATTGCTGACCTGACTTTCAAGTCACAGCTAAGACTGGATCATGGAAACTCATCATAAATGACTTTGAGTCTCAAACCCTGATGTAAAAGCACTCATGAGACATTGTGTGAACATACTGCACAACCAATAAAAATAATATTTTTTTAAACAAATAATAATACTTTGCCCCTCTCTGCAAGAGATACTTTTTATGTGTGCTTTTTAACTCCAATTTATAGAGCTTACCCATCGAAGCTGGAAAAAACCTTATACTAGAAAAAAAAAAAAAAAAACAGAAAAACACACAACACTGCTAACAGTTGAAGAAGTTTCTTCATCGCTACTTTATCACAGCAGAGAACACTACAAAGTTGAGTTGCTTGACTATTTATGATGTGATAATGATATGAACAAATCTTAAAAAGAAACTTTTTGTTTGTTTGTTTTTTTCCAGAAGTATCATGATAGTTCTTAGCTCTGGAAAAGCTGGTGAGACAGCAGTACAACCTGTTCTACAAAACTCTGCAGCTACCACCTAGCCACAGTGACAGGCTCTGATTTCAGCAGTTAGAGCTGCTCAGAAAGTTTTCCTAAAAATCTGCTACTTCCCGTGGTAAGAAAAACCACCACCGTTCTTTGGGAAAAAAAAAAAAAAACATTGCTTTAACGTGAGCACTAGGTCAGTGACTACTGCAATGCTGTATTTGCAGCTCGGTTCTGGGCATTGACACAACCATCTCCCAACTGGTGTTATCACTACCTCCTCATGAGGTCTAATTAATAAGAGCAGAGCAGCTACTTGGAAAGCTAACAGCAGAATTTTTTTAATCAGCAGAGGGCGCTGAAAACATTTAACCAGAAAGAAATTGATAAGCAACACCATGGTTTCAAGAAGTTTGGCTTCTGAGGTAAAGTCAGTCCTACAGCCCAGCCGGCCGCAGACAACGAGGCAGAGGAGAATGTCTGGAAGCATCAGGCAAGCGCTAATATTTTGGGAGAGATTTCATTTCATGGCTCATTTCAATAATACCAGTCAAAGCCAACAAGCTGAATGTCAAACAGCTGATGTAGCCAAAAAGCTGTGGTTTGTGTTTTGTTTTGTTTTTTTTGTTTTTTTTTTTTTTTTTTTCTGATACTTACTCCCAGAATTAGCAAATTAGCAGTATATTCATCTTTAGCCACTTTTTTAAAATAAAAAACAAACAAACAAACAAACCAACCAACCATTTGCATCAGTGCTGCAACAGAAAACAAACTTCAAAAAACCAAATCCCTTTCTGGTAATGACAGAAATGAGATGAAAAACCATACTCCAAAGTGTCAGAAGTGCAGAAAGAAAAACACCTCAGGGAAATGTTTCTTTTTCAACTCCAGTTCAAGCTGACAGCACGGCCCTTCAAAGCAGTTCATTTCTGCTTTTTTGCCTGTAGTTTCTGCTATCCTAGGACTTTTTGTGTACTTCCCTTTTCATTTTTTGTCGTGTTTCCGCTCCACAGCCCAGTTGCAATTCCTCCTTCCGCGCTGCCCCCGCTTCCCCTGCCTTCATGTGGCAGTGCTGGTGGCACGGCTCTGCAGGCAGGCAGGGGAAAGCCAACTGCTCTCTGACCACGCCTGACAAACGAATAAGCTGAGGAAGCAGTGAAAAGCTTCAGCATCACCCAAACCAGTGGCATACATGAAAAAGGAAGATGCCCACAATCGAACGTGCAAGAGCAACTCATGGCACGTGTGTTGTTGCTCTAACACAGCACAGTAACCTCGTAATACACTTGGAAAGAAATGTTTCAGGGGGAAAGAACTCACAAAATTGTCTGTACTGTGCTTCTGTAGCAGCAGCTCTGTAAAGTGGGAAGTGTAAAGTCCAGCATCCATGCAGGTGCCTCATAGTTGGTAAGAATTACCACAGGAAGGGCATCTACATGGGTGGGTGAAGAGCAGCCTCGACTCTTGTGTATCTACTCCCCACAGCAAACCAAGCCCAGCATGAGAAATTGCTGAAACATGAACATGATGCACTGGCAAAAAAAGGCAGAGAATAGTCAAAAGACAGCTTAGATGCAAAAGAAATCAAAATATTGCTGGTACTCTTCCCTTGCCACATTTCCCCGTAAGGTACCTGTGGCTAGCTGCTGCTCTAGAAGGGACTTTGGAAAAACAGAATTGGGGGGGGGGGGGGGGGTCAGCTGGCAAAAAAAGCTGCATTTTTATTAAAGACACTGCACAGGGGCACGGTTCAGTTTTGCTTTGTAACAGACTGTTAGAGGTTTTCGATCTCTGATCTGTCTGCTTCTTAGGAATGCCAGGGTATTGATCACTTCTAGACAGCCAAGCTAATGCAAACCGGTTTGACTTCAGAACTTCGTTACACAGCTAGTTCAGCTGCCCAAATTCAACCTTAGCAACTCCCTGATGACCAAGAAAACCACTATGACTAGCAAGCACTGAAAATATTTTTTTTAAATATTCTTGTAAGTCACCATTGCTAAAGCCCTACACTCCCTCACGCAAGACTGCTGCAAGGCCATTTGTCTCCCATCTCAAACCAGACTTTGCAATACCACAGCCCTGCAAGAGAGAGGAAAGGACAGGCCAGTCTATACAGTCACAGAAATACATTTGGGAATCAAGACTGCACTTACCCTGGGTTCCCACTAGTACCATTGGAATTTCACTAGTGTTACGATAGTTAGCCATACGGCTGTAGTAGTGGTAAACAGTCTGGAAGCTAATTTCATCTTCCAAGCTGAAGACAAATATAACGGCATCCACCCACATGGCAAACTGCAGAATAAAAATGGGAAAAGCATACTATGAAAAAAGCAGTGAGGAGGAGGAAAGAAAAACAAAAAAAAAGAGAAACATTCTTACCTTACCTGGAAGGAAATACACACCAGAGACACTTTGTTAGTGACAATAACCAAGGCCTTAAAAGTGGTTTAAGTTTCTAAAATGATAAATTTCATTACTCTGCAAGTGATGGGCATTTGGGATACACAAAGGTTTTTCTGCACGTTCACAACTGCATCTATTCTTCACTGGTGTATGATATTAAAAGCCCAACTACTATCATTTTGCATTGGTCTTGATTCACAGAAAAATATTACAACCTCAGATTTTTGCATTTGTGAATTATAAATGAAAAACACTTATCTCTAGGCACTTGAATGCCCTACTTACTGTGCTTTTTCCCCACCCTGTGATTTACATGCATGCATGCTGATGTTTCTGCTAATGCCAGGACAAGTATTATGGTTGTGGTTTTACAAGCGTAGCTAGTAATTCTCACATCTTGATCAATATCCAAAAACATTCATTTCAGATTTCCAATTCTTCACTATACAAACTCTCTTAATTGGGCAAAGAGTGCTTAATGCCTCATTCAGCTTTCAGTGTGAAAGCAAACTATTGTCTCTTGGCATCAGTGATCTGCTAAAAGACATGCATACACACAGGCCACGGCAAGGTGCTCCTTAAGTGACCATGCAAGTGAAGAAGTTCTAGCTCACAAGTGAAATAAGATTGTTTAAACGCATTTAACATAACAGTAAATGTATACGGGACAGCATCAAGAAAGACTGAAGTCAAGCTTACCTCACTGCCTTTAGTTTTCTCTAAGTGACTCCATTCCTACCCAAATTTAGACCAATGGAAACAAGTTTCAGCCATCAGTACTCACACTTTGTACTTTATTACTATTACAATACGCCAGGTAGACTGGGGACGCGCTGAGTGTACAGAGCTGCAAGGAGGTTCATTTGGGGAATCTTTTCCTGAGTTTTACACCACTCGCCTTGCTTTCCAAGCACTCACTGCAGCACTACCAACTCTTGCAAATTTGTCTCTGCTCCTGCAGTATTTAAACTGCTTCACTCACTAGTCTGTAGATTCACACACTCTCAGCTTTTAGTGAGGCATCCCAAACTGGCATATGCAAAGTGAAAAAAAAAAAAAGCTCCAACAGTATGAATCTGGAAAACTCTTTATGTACGTAGGTCGCTGAGCTCATTAAATGTTCCTTTTTCAGAAACAGGAGCTAGTAGTACTTCTTACCTATTTTTCATATGGCAAATTAGCTGGTAATTTTAGTTAACATGTACATTCATGACAGTATTGTACCTGAAACCCAACACTCCCTCATCTTTTACTGTTACATGTATTTTTACTGTAAAAATAGCCAAAAGTGTTTTGAGGTTTTCAAGACAGTCAGGAGAACAATATTTCAGATTATAATGATAGGGCTGTTTACACACAGCACAGTTACTAATAAGGTCAACTACCACGCTATTTTATTTGAACTGTTCAAACCAGAAGATCTAACCAAAGGAACTGGAGACAGGGTTGTTACTGTGGTTTTGGTATTATAAAATGGTTCTCGCTGACCAGACTCAGCAGCAGCATGCCAAGAACTCTTCCTTACAGCTACGACATCCTTAAAGCACCAGTTGGGAAGGTAGCAGCCTCTCTAAATTTTCTTAATGTTTCATCAGTGTTATTTTAAAAATCCCAAGATTGGTTATTCAATGCAGTTCCTCCATACACAAAATTATTCCAGTAGTTTCTTATTTCTCTTTTTATAATAAAATAAGTTTAAGTTATGTGGATATCAGACCTGTGATATTAAAATCCAAAGCAATTTTGGAAAACACACACAGGGTCTGGAAACCCAGGATGCCTTATCCACACCACTGTGCAGGGAATGGCTTGAAATAAGAATGTTAATGTCAGGTGGTGATATACAAACCCACCTGCAGACTTACTGCTGTGATTGAGCAGATCTGTTAATTTAAGATAAGCCCAAACAAAACCAAATAATTAAAAAAGTTCTAAATTTCAAAAAAACAGCACGACAGCTCACTATAGCTATGTTAATTGGGTTTTACAATAGGAGACCAGTATATTTGTAACAGTTAACAGCAAGAGTAAAAATCAAACCTAGTGAGCAAAAGAAATTGTCAAGATTCACAAATGGAAGCAGCCTCAGCTAACGTGCCTCAACACTTTCTCATTCTGTGAAATTAGTTTTTTTTTTTTCTTTTAATTATTTTAATCTTTGAACAATCTGATGTTAGACAAGAATCATAGATGCACTAAGTGTGAGTTTGTTTTCCCTCCCTTCCTGCCAAAAAGAACGGGACGTAAACTGAAACCTGAGCTGCAGCCTTTGCACTGAAGCAAAGAAGCCATCACCTGGGGAACTCGCCCAGACCCCGTCCTGCTAAGGGTCAGGAAGGCTGCAGGTCAGCTCGTTACTTACTGAAGTTGTAATTCTATCCCAATTATCCACAAAAATATACTGTACTGTTGCAAAAAGCAGAAGCTTAAGGCTGAAATAGCCCACTCTATCTTATATGCAAATAGTGTGAGGTAAACATTTTTCTTTTGTTAGTATTCCATTTTCATTATACAGTTATAAATATTCATGAACCCAGAAGTAAACTTTTTATTCCAGGAATTAATAAACAGATTAAAGATCTTTAATAGACATGCAACTTGAAATTATACCAAAAAATCCAAAGAGAATTTACATGTGAAACACATCTTCTGAAAGGTGAAATAGCACTAACACCTTGAGCCTTACCATCCTTGTGATTTGCTGAAAACCAAATCTCAGCCACAGTAGTAATTACATCTCCCACATTTACCCAGCATAGATCAAAAGCAAAGCATCGTGTCTGTTCATTAGTTTGCAGTTAGCTCAAACGAACTCTTCAAGACCCATTCTTCAGGTAGAAAAATATTTAGATTACTGTGTGTACCTTTACAACTCCAGTATTTATGTTTTTATATGAGTGAATGTTCTCCGAGAATCAGGGCCTGGAAAATGTTGTGTCCTTCAGCCAAATTATTCACAGCCTCAAACAGAGCACTTCTTTTAGGCTCGTGCCTCACACGGCTGCAGATGTGTTAGTGACACTAATTTTTTGTTTGTCTTTTAACTTCCTTCCAGGATGTCTCTCTGGGTCTCCATTTCCTCCACCTCTTTTCTCTTCTCCTTTGTCCGGGCACCTTCCCCCATGCTCTAATCCTCCTGCAGCTAATGAGCAATAGTGGAGCATTGAAACACAAGCTGCTGCTGCTGGCACCGCGCCCGTTCAGCTGTTTGGCGATAGCACAGTTCCTGCTGCTAGATTTTTTTTTTTTTTTTTTTTAATTGAAGCAGATCTACCACTGAAAAGCCGAGCAAAGCAATGTCAGTGGCAGCCAACACGCTTGAGAAACCCCACTGGTGCGCAGGTAGGAAGAGGTAGAGGGGAGACAAGGAGGATGCCTGAAGACAAGGATGCTGCCTGCAGCCAGGCTGGCAGAGTCTCCGGTGATTTAAGCATCACCTAAGCAAACGCTTCACTTCACATCACTTAAAATTGAGTAACAGAGTTAAGCATACAAAACCACAACTGTCTTCTCACAGGCAAATCCTGATGAGTGACCTCCTATGAGTTGTATACAGGCACCAAATCAGAAACCCCAGAACTCGGTGGTGCTGAACTGGAACTCACATAGTTGAGTCTTAAACAGCACAAAGAGCAAAATGTGGAAGTGATAGGGAATGCAAAGATTTGTACACAAGTATGCGTGTTAACTGTGCATACATCTACTTTGTATTTTAACAATTTAGAGATTCTACCTCAGAAGAAAACTTATGACTACATCATGCACCTTTGTCACCAGTGGAAGCATACTGATTAGGCATTCAATGCAAATTAACCATCTATTTTTACTACACGGTTTCACATTGTAATTAAATCCCAAATATTTTCTAAACAGAGTATTTTCCACCCAAGGGTGACGTCTAGATTTGCCCAGGAGGAAGACAAACAGCATCCAGAAAAGAACAAAACAAAGCCAGTTCTCTGAAAGGAAGGCTTTTTAAAAGCAAGGCAACCGTGGCGGTGGGCTGATAAAGCTCCATATCCGCAATGCTCACCTGTGCCTCCGGAGGGCCCCCTTCATCTCTGATCAGCAGCAGATAGCTTTGTCCATCAACTACTATCTCTTTCTTGAATCTCCCACCTGTCACACAAAGCAACTCATTACAGAACAGAAAAGGCAAAAGATACAAAATAGAAAAAGGCTTCGCTTGTGGAAAAAAGGTGTCCTTAAGGTCTCTGACAAATTAATGAACTACTGTGAATATAAGTTAAGTCCATATGCATATGCATAGAAATTACTTAAGAAAGTTGTCACGTACTTTAAGAATAAGGCTAATGTGGAAAAAAAAACAAAACAAAACAAAAAAAAAAAACAACAACTGCATTACAAACACTAACTCCTACATGAGGTGTACTTGGATTTGATACATACAGTTAAGAGCCTTTTTTATATTTAACTGTGACAAATGTATTTTTAAGAAAGGCAAACACGGACAGTTGCATACAAACAACATCGTGTATTCTAACTAAAAGCAATTTCTTGTGTGAATTAGCATTTCCTCAAGAGAAGCCCAGTTCTTACAGCGCACACATGTAATGTTATGAAAATGATACTTCTATATTCACAAACCACAGTTAGGGGAAAATACTAGACACATGTTAGACAAAAAAAAACTACAATGGTGGTTCCTCTGTAGAGATGTACTAAACTAACAGAGAATGTTGTGCCACTTACTAGCAGGATGAATTAAAGACCTACATTGGAGATCTAGATAAAAAGAGCAGAGGTGCAGCCTTCAGCTAAATTCTATTCCTGATCCTCTTATTTGAGGGAGATGTCAAATTCTGAGGGCTTGTGAAGACCAAAGAGCTGGCACAGAACCCAAGCAACCCATCCAGGGTGCACAGCTGCACCGTTACCTTCTCTCTCCACGGGCCTCGGGGGAGCTTCAAGCATGACCCAAGGGCAGAGCAGGGATTGCTTTCCTTTGGGGTTAAGCATATTTCAGGCATCCTGCTGTGTCTCATGACGGACTTCAGATAACGATAAATCACATTTAGGGGTTCTGGTGTGACCGAGCCTAAGCCAGGATTAGCAGACTCAGCCTGCCTAAGTAGCTGGGTTGCATTTAGGCTCCTCTCCTGGAAGCAAAACCACTCCTCTCCCCACCAAAGCCACAAAAGCCCCAAGGCCTCCACACTTAGCATCGCCCAACCACCTCACATCTGAATTTACCTGACTAAAATAAACACACCCTAAGCTTCTTTCTTCAGCCCTATTTTGTATTAACTGGAATTATTTCCAATTTGAACCCTACCTCCCAACTACATGTACTTCAAAACTTGTCATACTATCAACACCAATGCATTTAAACAAGCGATAGGCAGGCAAACAACTCTGACTTGTTCTCAAAACAAGCTCTCTAAGCAAGTCAGACAGCACGTACAGGCTAACACTGATCCTCAAAACATTTGCACAAAAATCGCTAGCCTTAGGGAAGCCACAAACTGGCTTAGACCCACCATTCCACCAGCCCAAGCATTACAGCAGGTTTCAGATCAAGATCACTCAACAGTTCAGCTACCTGCAATATTTTAGCATGTTTAAACACATTTCATGTTTAGTAAAAAAAATAAGAACAGGGAGTTTTGTTTGTGGTTTTGTTGTTGTTTTTTTTGTGTTGTGTTGCTTTGTTTGTGGGTTTTTTTGGTTTGCTTTTTTAAATATTTATTTATAAACCTACCCTATTAAAAACAGCTTAGCAGTACCAAACATGCAACAATTAAGACTGTCACATTCATGGTTGTTTAATTGCACAGGAGTAGAAAAGCTATGTATAGATTTTCATTATCTTGCTCATAAACTAGATTTCAGTTCTGTCTTCAAAGATCAAGTGGCAGACAAATATGTATATATTATATATATAATTAGTGAACTTGAAAAGAATAATCAAAATCAAGCATAAAACTTTTAAAGGAAACTACTCTCAGCTCTCAGGAACTGAATTTCTATTAACCAGATCATTATTTCTGTATGTCATCAATTAATTGTATGCTCTTCACAATGAGAGGTGTTAAATAAGATGAATTACTTAATATATAGCCCTCCAGAGAAGCTCTTTAAAGATATAAGTAACAATGGAAATGCAGTATATATGTGATCGAAGAGTGAAAGTTCTGTGTAACTGCCATTTCCTATTTCTCTTTTTTTAAACACTGAAAGTTCACACAGCTAATTATAAAATACCATGAACTGAACACATTGAAGAGCCAACTCATTATTCCCTCTTGTCAATAAGACACCTTTCAAGTCTCACTGTATCTTCAAACAGTCCCCAGAGGCATAAAGAAGATACAGACAAGGTGAAGTAAAAAGCTTAAATAGAGAAGTGGAAAAATACGGACTAAAAAAAAAATCTGTGATGTAGTACTAAAATGTACATACAGAGATCACAAATGCGAGTACTAAGAGATTTATTCTTGAGAGCCACTTCATGGTCACTAATGATTTTGTTTGTGGGAGCAGCTTCCAGAAGCGTATCATATTTAACAAATACAGTATAAAGTTATCAATAGCTCTCTTCCTATATGAATCCACACTAAGGACCAGCTTGTATACCTGCTCCTCGCCTTCCCCAAGAACACTGTGCATGGAACTCAGTAAAACGAGAACGTATTTTTATTCCCAGTATTAAATTCAAATCTTGACATGCTGTACCACTTCACCATGGTCTGTCATACTGGAAGAACAACGCTGCAGTCAACCAGCACAGAGTCAGTTCAGATCCATTCCAGTGGCTTCTTCGCCCGTAACAGCTGAGTGTGCTCATTATCTAGAATACACGCTAGTTCCTTACACATCCTCATGCATTCATTTGGTTTTGTTTGGGTTTAGATATTGCACGATAAACAGTTTAAATCTAATAAATGCCCCAGCCACAATGTTTAAAAGAATGCTCTGCCTTTCCAATCTGTACTAAGCATTTCAAATCAAATCTAAAGATCCAGAAATGTAACAACAGATTTACACTATCCCCCACATAAGAATTATTTTATGCAAATTTGAGCTCAAAGCAGGATGCATCCCTATTAACTTATGTTTCTACACCATTAAAGAGCCCTTACGAGCACATCATAAAGGTAGGTACTACACAGGGCAGAGACTGAGAAAACCTACCTCAATATCAAGAATTTACACAAACAAAAGTACAAACACTGATGAATATACAGACCTCTGCCAGCATATGGAACCAGGGCTATGTGGTTGTCCTGCAGATATCTGTGGTCCTATGACTAGGGCAAACAACTGACTGGTTCTGCCCTTGACTTGATGAGCCCTGATGTGACCCATCTCCAGGACAGGTAAGTAAAAGCAAAGCAAGAGCAATGATTTTGGGATCGTTTGGCTTGGACAGCACTGCACTAGTAATTTTTTTAAAATATACCTTTGGAGTTTGTAAAGCATTACAAGGACATCGGGAAAGAGGAATTAGAGACCATCCAGTTAGAATACTGAATCACTGCAACCTGTCAAAGTAGTCAAGAAGTCTCTCGTGCCTAGAAAATACCACTGTATTTTTCTCAATATCTGTATATATGATGGAGCCACAAGATACCATCTAAGCTGATGACACTGAAAACAAAGAAATGACCTTCTTAATTTAAAGAATGAGCTCAAAAAACGACAGCACTGGTCCCAAGGGAGGTAGCTAGCTTTGTTCTACTCCCATCAGTATTATGACACATGCAGGTTTTTAATGAGGGAATTTCTCAACTCCCATAGGTACCTGCCAAAGGAGGTCATCGAAAGAGAAAGACTGTCAGCCCAGACCAGATCTCTGAAGGCCAGAATGATCGCTCCTGCTATCTCCTAACAGGCATGTCAAAGCACAAAGATGCTAGAGTGCAAGGCATGCAGTCAACAGCTGAGCTACCGTTACTTGCAGCCCCAATCCCATCTCTAAAGCCATATAAGAGATATATGCCAGTGAATACCTAAATAACTCTCTACAGCCAGACAAATGGAGCTGGAAACTGTTTTCATGAAACGTCACAGCAATTTTATAAAAACAAATCACTGAAGCTGGGTGGAAGCTTTAATCTGGGAGGAATGTATTAAACGGTTTATTTATTTTCTCTAAAACTCTGTATTGATAAATCGCTTCATTATTCCTAGTTTTCCAGGGCAAGATCATGGCCAATTCACACAGCCTTTTTTTCAGACATGTACAAAATTTCACATGAGGAGGCAAATACCACTCCTGTGTATGAGCCACACACAATACCCACCAGAAGATACAGAGGCAGTGCTCCTGACACAACCCATAAAACCACCCAGTCTCTTAATGTGCATTAGGCCAGATTCCTACTGTGAAATGCTCCAGATAAAAGTACAGCTTTGATCATTATAAAGCTAAATAAATTCTCTGCATCAACTATTTACGACCACGGGTAAAGACCCAGCATAAATCAGAACACCGGGCTGAAGGAATCAACAAAAGCTTCCTAATCTCATTTCTATGCACGTCATTCTACAAAGGTTAGCTCTCTGAATCAGCAGGAGTAAGAAACTGCCCTTCAGTACGGGTACTAATTTTAAATACTGCACACATTTGTAATCAAAGGTGCTCTATATGGTGAAAACTTTATATACATAGGGAATTCCACGGATGAAGGTTTTCATCTGGCTATGAAAGCCTGGCTGCCTCTTCCTCCAGCCGATAGCTGTTTCACTGCATAATTGCTCACCGAAGCAACCGCTGATTTTCATACTGTATCCCCAGGCTCGACTGCATTCACCAGGCTCTTTATTCAAGCAAATTGCCACGGGGATGAAGTTATTTGGCCATATGAGAAAGATAAATTTGGGGGGCTGGCCGCATGACGAACCCATGCAGCAGCTGAACGTCCACCGTAACCATGGGGGCAGGGCAGGCAGGAAAGGAGAGACAGAAGATAAGACTGAAGCAGCCGTAAAAGCCTGTATTTTATATTCCCAGTGACACATGCATTTTGACAACAGTGGTCAGTTGTCTTGTGAACACAGATTCTTTTTTTTCTTCTTAAGATAGAAAAGACGGCACCAAAAATCCGTTTCCTCTTCAGGGAAACATGTTAAAAAGTCATTTATTCCCTCTATTC